GCTTCATTAGAAAAAATAAAACTCTGGTTCGTTTTAATTTCCAAATACAGTTTTTTAAATTTATGAATTACCTGAGAAGTATATACCAACCAAACCAAACCCCATACCATCAAGTTAGTTCTGATGCATAGCAACCCTATATAAATTATGTAAGACAAAATCTTTACAGGACACCACACCAAGACTCCAGGAAATGGAATTATTGATATTGTTAAGTGTCATCAGGTCAGTTCTGACTCATAGGATCCTGTATAGGGTGTCCAAGAAGAGGCTGGTGGGTTTGAACCACCGACCTTGTGGTTACCAGTACAGTGCTGATCCTAGAATGCCACACCAGGACTTAAAAACAGTATTAGGCTAGTTGACTGTACAATCCCAGGAAACCAATACCCTGTCTGTAACTTTCAATCAACAGAACTAATCTCATGAGATGTTTGGGTGTTTGGATGGAATTAAGTAGCAGCAATGCCTTTAGACCCTCTCTTGGCAATTACATTGTTGTAGAATGTACTAATGCACTTATAAGAAGTAGTTGTTTCAGTTTTCCTCTCAGGCTGTGAGTGACTAGCACCTACCTGGTATCTGTCTCTCAAATATTTGCTGAAATGAAATATATTGTGTTTAATGTTGACTGATGAGAAACAATTTTTTATATAGGTGCAGTCTTAAAAAATATTTGCTACTTCCATGGTCTGAATCCTGAAGATTCTTTAAAGTCACCTCATACCCTCAAATTCCTTCTAAACTAGCTCACTTATGGTTCAAATTTCACCATTAAAGTTTCATTCCTTTGCTTTAAAAAAAAAAAAATCTTTACAGGAGCATGCAGCCTCATCTTTAGCCCATGGAGGAGTGACTGGTGGGTTTGAACCACCAACCTTGCCCAGCGCCTAACCCACAGCACCACTCCTTAGATGTATATATTGTCATTCTAATTTTCCTCTTATGATGTTGGATTATACTTTTGCTTCAGTAATTACAGGCAGAGAAAATATGCAAGTAAGTAAAGTATTGCTACTAGGGTTCCATATCATAGATCCACTCACTGCTATTGAAGCTATTTCAGCTCATAGTAACCCTATATAGGATGTCCAAGACTATAAAGCTTTATTAGAGCAAGCTACCTCATCTTTTTCTTGCAGAGCAGCTGGTGGGTTTGAACTTCCAACCTTGCAATTAGTAGCCCTAACATATAACCCACCAGGGTTCTTACCAGTTCATAAATTGAGTTGATTTTGACTCATACTGACCCGATATATGGTTTCTGAGACTGTCATCTTTATAGTATTAAGCATGGGTTTATTCTAAACAGAAAGTATTTAAACATGTCTCTGTGATCATTGGATGGCTGCAAACAAGTTCTCTCGGCAATACACTTGTCTTAGTTTTATTATGTTGCCTTAAAAAAAAAAAAAAAAACAAGATACTTTTGGTACCATGGAAAAAAAGATTCTGAGGTCAGGCTAATTTCTAATTTTAACAGAACTCAAGTGGACATCTTCCCAAATCATTGAAACTTTGCAGCAAGTTCACAGGCATACTACCTCACATAAAACAGTGGTTTTTAGATGGATTGAGCTTTACAAGGAAGATTGGGAAGACCTCAAAGATGACCTATAAGCAGGAACACTGTCACCCTTTATAAATGAAGAAACTGTGGCTGATGTTCAAAAATGGGTGGAAGACCACCATAGAATTACCATTAATTCAATAGCTACTGAAGGTTGAGATCTCACATGATTGAGCATTTTCAATTATAAGTGAACATCTTGGCCTTGGCAAGCTTTCAGATCCATGGATGCTAGAAGCATTGCATGAAGATCAGCTAGCTCAAACAGCTAATCTTTCCATCAGTGTTTTAAGCAAGATTAAAGCTGATGAAGGCAATTTTAGGAACAAATCATTACAGGTAGGGACGAGTCTTAGATTTACCAGTATGATATAGAGAGTGAGGTCTGATCAAAATTGGCTTCCAACCGGTATCTGCTGCTGGACTCATTAAATTCAAGATAAAGAGGTCAGCTCAGGGTTATGGTGACTGTTTTTTGGGAATTCCAAAGGGGAAATCTTGATAGATTTTCTCGAAGAATGCAGTATGATCACAAGGGCTAATTTTGAAAAAGTTTTAAGAAAATTGAAAACTACAATGTCCAAGAAAATCGGCTGAGGAATTTTTGTTTTCCCATCATGATAATGCATCTGCTCATTCTCTGAGGGCAGCAAGGACTGTCTTACTAGAACTTTATTGGGAAACCGTACTCCATCTACCCTACAGCCTGACTCGGCCTTACAGGCATTTTTTTATTCCCAAAATTCAAACACATTCAAAAGGAACAGTTTTAAACTCTCAAAGATGCCCAAACTGCTCTCTTGACATGAAGATCACAGCATTGTTCAGGAAGTGTTAGAGAGGTGGAAAAACCACCTTAAGAAATGTGCAGATGGAGTATATGTTGAAAAATAGTAGGTTCATATTTTGGGTGGGTGGGTGGGTGGGTGGGTTGGTTGGTTGGCTTGATGAAGGTATCTGTGATTTTGTAGCAATACATTTTTACTTGCCCTAATAGCTACTAGGTTAAAAAGCTCTTTGGGGTAAAATTATCTAGGGCCTTGTAGGGAATGATACCACCACATATCTGTTACACTGTGGTAGCTTACAAGGTAGTGGTAGACAGGTTTCAGTGGTAGGTTTCAGACCAAGAGAGATTGGAAGAAAGGCCTGGCTATCCTAAAAATTAGCCAGAGAACACCCTGTGAACCACATTGGATATATTGTCTAATACAGTGTTGGAAGTTGAGGCCCTCGGGTTGAAGACACACAGAAAACACAGTGGCTACAACATTGAACTTGAGACTACCAACCATCATGATGCATCAGTTAGCACAAGACAGGCTACATTTCATTCTATTATACATAGGATTACCATAAGTCAGAGCCAACTTGGAAGCAACTAACAATAACCAGCCATGATAAGAAATTTCTGTATAATTCTGAATAATTTTTGAGAAGCTGTTAGTGGGTTCTGAGCAGAGAAGCGATATGGTCTCTCTTTTTTTTTTTTTTTTTAAGTTTTATTGTGAATTATGTGACAGTTTACATGGGAGAACATCAGTTTTACATTCATCCTTTCGTATATTGTTTCATTGCCATGGTTACAATCCCCGCCACGCATCACCAAACAACCAAAGGGTACACCCTATAAGCCTGCCCACCCCCACCCCCCAGTCGTCAGCACCCCGCCCCTCTTCCTCCCTGGGTCCTGAGTCCCCAACTGCACCATCTCTCTACTTCATCATCTCTGCCTCCATCTCGGCGATTGCTGCGTCTCTGGGTAGGGTTCCACTCTCCACTCTTCTCCCTTCATGATTCCAGGGACCTCTGCTCCCAGCCTGCAAAGTCAATCACTCCCCTCCTTGCCACAAAATGCCCAATTTTACATTTACAACCTTCACAATCAGATATGGTCACTCTTACTGATGTGTTGAAAGTGGATGGGCTAAAAGGTAAGAATAGAAACTGGGAGCTGAGAAACCAGTATACTGCAATCATCCAGACAAGATAGGATAAATGAGGTTTTGACTAAGGTGGTAGTAGTAGAAAATAGAAAAATGGAGGTAGAATTGACAAAGTTAGTTAACAGATTTACTTTAGAGGTGTAGAAAAAGAAGACTCAAGAATGTTAGATTTTTGACTTGGGAAACTAGGTAGGTGATTTACTGATAGAGAAGACAAGGTAGGTAGGTTTGAGGAAGACAGTCATGGTTGCATATTAGACTTGAGCTTCAAGTTGAATAGAAGATAAAAGGTAGAAATACAGGTAAAAATATTTCTAAAATAAAATATAGTTATCAAATAGAAATTAATAGTATTTGTTATTCATTGTTATATAACAAAACCAAAATTTTTTGTTGCTTAAAACATTGTCTTAAAGTTTCTGTGGGTCATCATTTCTGGGCATTCTGTTTGTTAAAAATGAGTCATTAAGGAGAAGCCTGACACTATGACTCTGTACCACTCTTCAAATCTGGAAAGGAATTCACCCATGTAGCCCAATTTTCAGCCAAGCAATAGATAGGTATTGTCAGAAGGGACCAGTCACTGGAGAAGGATATCATGTTTGGTAAGGTGGAGAGTCAGAGAAAAAGAGGAAAACCCCCAACAAGATGGATTGACAAAGTGGTAGCATTGATGGACTCAGGCATTGCAACAGTAGTGAGGCTGGCCCAGGATCAGGCAGTGTTTCATTCTGCTGTGCATAGGATTGCTCTGGGTTGGTACCAACTCAGTGACACCTAACAACAACAATAGATAGGTATATAGTGAGGGCAACAACACTAGTAAGGTATGCTCACCTTGGAAACGGTCAGTCATTCGAAATCAAAAGGGCAACACTTACTAAGGGCAAAGTTGAGAAGTGTGGACTAGAAATAGGAGCCACAGGGAGGAAGTGGGATAACTATTCATGCATGGAATTCCAGGTTGAAATCATTGAGATGAAACAAAGTTTGATTTGTTGAATGTAAAACTGATTATCTTGTCTGTAAACCTTCACTCAATTTACAAAAAAAAAGTTTTTAAAACAAAGTGAGTCATTAAGTACAACTCATTCCCAAGGGAAAAGGATATTTAGGCTGAAGGAAGGAAATAAGGATTTGTGGTGTAAATGTCTCTTTAAATCCTCAAAAGTATTAAAAGAATGAATAAAGAAAACCTAAGGTTTGTCAGGAATCTTCAGATTATGCATTGATCCTATGATGACTGTTATATTCAACGTCAAGATGCTGTACTTACACTTTTGTTCACAGGACTGACTCTAATATACCCGAATATTTATCACGTATGTAGAGTCCCTATTGAAGACAAGCAGTTCTCAAACAAACCTTTACATCCAAAAACTTAATCATTGTAGCATTTGTTCCTCATCATTTTGTTCATTAAGAAAGTATTTATAAAGTATCAGACATATTAACTCTTCTATATCTTTGTGTTTTCTTTATAGGTTATTGCTTATAATTCAGAAGGTAAAAGTAATCCAAGTGAAGTAGTAGAGTTTACTACATGTCCTGATAAACCTGGAATACCTGTAAAGCCTTCAGTTAAAGGAAAGATACATTCACACAGTTTTAAAATAACTTGGGGTAAGATAATATCTATGTTTTTAGATTATTACTTTTACATTTATTTAAATTTAAATAATATAATTTTTAAGCTATTAGTTAATTTGTTAACCTGAGCCAGTCCAGTAAGAAATAGAAGAATCACTCATTATTCAAGAATATATTATGGAAAGCTTTGTACTCACACATACTAAGTTCAGATTTGATATAGGAGCAATGTAGGACCCACTGTGGGTTGCAAACAGGAGCAGCATGTGTGAAACAGAAGACTACTAAACTTGTTGCCAAAGTCACCTGGGTCATCCTGCCTCATAAGAAATTAGAAAATCACATACTCATTTAAAACAAACATTTATTGAGCACCTGTTTATATAATTACTTGAAAAATGAAGATCAAATAAACTTGGTTCTTACATGAAGAATTCAGATCTATTCAGTGATATTTACAAAATACCTTAAAAATTTGAAACAAACCTAAATTCCAAAGTGAGGCATTGTTTTTAGAAATTGTTGCTATTTATACATGGGAGCTCCCATAGCGTAGTGGTTACGAATTGGGCTTCTAATCTTACCGTCAGCAGCTCAAAACTACCAGCTGTTCTACTTGAGAAAGATGTGGCTTTCTGCTCCTGTAAAGATTTACAGCCTCGGAAACCCTGTACAGGGTCACTATATGTGTTGGAACCGACTCCACAGCACATAACAACAACATACATGGCAACACTGAATGATTTAAAATTAAGAAAGGTGTGCAACAGGGTTGTATTCTTTCACCATACTTATTCAGCCTGTATGCTGAGCAAATAATCTGAGAAGCTGGGTTATATGAAGAAAAATGTGGCATCAGGATTGGAGGAAGACTCAATAACAACCTGCGATATGCAGATAGTACAACCTTTCTTGCTGAAAGTGAAGAGGACTTAAAATATTAACTGATGAAGATCAAAGACCACAGCCTTCAGTATGGATTGTTCCTCAGTGTAAAGAAAACTAAAATCCTCACAACTGGATCAATAAATAACATTCTTATCAATGAAGAAAAAATAGAAGTTGTCAAGGACTTCATTCTTCTTGGATCAACTGTCAACACTCATGGAAGCAGCAGAAAAGAAATCAAACGACGTATTGCATTAGGCAAATCTGCTGCACAAGACCTTTTAAAAGTGTTGAAGAGCAAAGATGTCAGCTTGAGGACTAAGGTGCACCTGACCCAAGCCATGGTATTTTCAATAACCTCATATGAATGCAAAAGCTGGACAGTGAATAAGCAAGACCGAAGAAGAATTGATGTCTTTGAGTTATGGTGTTGGAGGAGAATATTGAAAGTGCCATGGGCTGCCCAAAGAACCAATAGATCCATTTTGAAAGAAGTGCAGCTAGGGTGCTCCTTAGAGGCCAAGATGGCCAAACTTCGTCTCTCCTACTTTGGACATATTGTCAGGAGGGACCATTCACTGGAGAAGAATATCATGTTTGGTAAGGTGGAAGGTCAGAGGAAAAGAGGAAGACCCCCAGTGAGATGGATTTGCAAAGTGGCAGCATTAGTGGGCTCACGCGTGGCAACAATTGTTAGATTGGCCCAGCACCCGGCAGTGTTTTGTTCTATTGTGCATAGGGTCTCTGAGTCATTACCAACTTGATGGCACCTAACAACAGCAACATACAGTGGAATGGAGTCCTGGTGTGTGGCATTGTGGACTAATGCATCAGACTGCAAAGTTGTTTGAACTGCCAAAATTGGTGATTCAAGCTCACCAGTTGCTCCTTGGAAACCCTTTACTAGGGCTGCTATGGGTCAGAATCAGCAGCACTTAACAGCAGCAACATACAGTGGAATATCATGCAACCATTAAAAGTTGTTAGAAAGCTCAATTTATAAGCATGGGAAAATATAGTAAAGTGAAAAACAGGTTAATTAAAAGCGTTGAATAATGTAGTACTGGTTTAGTAATAGAGCATTACAGGTGATTCTATTTTTTAAATAATCCTAGGTTTTGCATTCTGTTTATTAGGATTTTCTGTTGTTTTTTCAATTGTATGTGCTTGACTTAATGCCACTTTTGCTTCTTTGGATAGACCCACCCAAAGACAGTGGAGGGGCAGCCATCAGTAAATATGTAGTAGAAATTGCAGAAGGTCCAAACGGTAAGAAGTATTTTTAAAGTTTTCACTTGATAGATTTAGACCTGTCAGCTGTCCATACACTTAATACTGTACAACTTATATTATCTCATTTCTTTTCTCTTGCTCTTCAGTTGCTACCATAAATTTGGGGCTTTCTTTAATATTCACTTTGGACTTTCCTTGATTTTTCTCCTTGTTTGTAGCAGTTAAGATTTTGTCTGTTATGACACACTTTAAATTGTGATCTCCAGAAACATGAAACATAAGACTGGTGTGTATTATTTACCTTTACATTTTATTTACACGGCACAGTCCCAGTATACTTAAAGTCATTAAATATCAATACTATGATGTTTAATTTGTTCAGTTATATTTAGTAAATACAGTGAGATTTATATACAGATGTACCAGACACAAATTATCCTCTTAAAATTTAACTCAAATTATGCTACTTTTGAAAAATAAATTGTATGCCTAGTTAACCTTTTTCTTGACTCATGTTTTTGTTGTTAAGTTTAGTTGAGTCGAATCCCACTCATAGTGACCCTGTATAAGATTTTCAAGGCTTCAGATCTTTGTGAGAACAGAGAATCTCAGTCTTTTGAAATGACCTATTTAATGCACCAAAAAAAAATCTTTTAATTAAGACAAAACTTCCTGCAGTATTTACTCTTTCTGTTCTTTGTGTGTTACAATGTTATTACTGGACCATAAGCACATTTTAAATGCTTAATTGAAAGTAAATTATCAATCTAAGCCAAAGTCAGTACAGTTACAGACTTATTTCACTTCAACAAAGCCATGCAAATTTGCCTAGGGAGCTGTACAAATAAAGAAATTAGATCATTTCCAGGAAACTTAAAACAAGTTTAGATTGTTTCTGACAAATTACATAAACACTTATTTAGTGAAGCTAGGATACCTGCCGTGTCCATGATACCAAAACGTTAAACATTACCCAATAACTGATTGCACACAATTCTTCACCCTACAGGAAACAAATGGGATATGATCTACAGTGGAGCTACTAGGGAACATCTTTGTGATCGACTAAATCCAGGCTGTTTCTATCGTTTACGAGTTTACTGCATCAGTGATGGAGGACAGAGTGCGGTAATATAACGTGTCCACATAGATTCTTTTGCTCTTTGTCATTTTAATTTTAGACAAATGGGATGGGATCACCATATACCACTTCACTCCATATACTGAATTATATCCACCAATGTATAAAAGTAATTTCTGTGTGGTTAATTTTATACTGATGAGGATATTCTAGTATAATACTTAGCTCACGATAAAATAGTCAGGGCATATCTGTCTAAATAGTTGGTGTGGTGGTAGTTATGTGCCGTGGAGTCAGTCCCGACTCTTAGCAAACCTGTATAGGGTTTCCGAGGCTGTAAATCTTTACAGGAGCAGAAAGCCTCATCTTCTCCCATGGAACAGCTGGTAGTTTTGAACTGCTGACCTTGAGATTAGCAGCCCGACCCATAACTACTACACTACCAGAGTTCCTATCCAAATAGTTCGCTTTAGATAAACAAAACACTGGAGAATTTTTTGTACAGGTAAATTTTAAAATGATACTTAATAACTATAGCAAAAATAGAAACAGTGTAACTGTCGACTTTACTGTTTCAAAACTCATGAATGTGTCAGGACAAACTAATAAAAATGTCATTTACTAATTCAACCTACATTTTAATATATACTTATTGCAGAAATATGTCCATTATTACTATTTTGTTGTTGTTTAGTGCTATTGAGTCAATTCCGATTAATAGCAACTGCATGTGATGAAGTAGAACTGCCCCATAGCGTTTCCTAGGTTATAATCTTTACAGAAGCAGATCACCAGGTCTTTCCCCTTCGGCGCTGCTGAATGGGTTCAAAACACCAGCCTTTAAGTTAGCAGTCAAGCATCTCAACCATTGTGCCATTATTATTAGGGACTCAGTAATTAAAATAGATAAAGTATGCCGTTGCTGTGGTATATAAAGAGCTCTGGTATTATAGTGGTTACGAGTCAGACTGTTAACCTCAAGGTCAGCTGTTCCATGTGCGAAAAATGAGGCTTTCTGCTCCCATAAAGATTTACAGCCTCAGAAACCCCATGCAGGGTCACTATGAGTCGGAGCTGGCTCCCCAGCATATCCCTGCCACTGTTGACTGTATATGAAACATATACAATGTTTATAACATATGCTTTTAATAGGATTATGTTTGTCTTTTAATGAATTTTACCAAGAGTGATATCTTGAATCATTCATATTTTAATTATTTTTTCCAATGGAATTTAATGCATTGAAAGTACTATTTTTCTTAAAGATAAATTAAAAGAATTTTGCTGAAAATGTGAATATTCTGAACTGAGTATAAAATAGACTTCATTTTGTCCAGGAGGAAAATCTCCCCAGATTTATAAAAAAGAGCAAATCTCCACCAAAAAATTAAAATCCTATTATTCTGACACAACATTTTAGCATTTATATATAAGATAATCTTCTGAATCAGGTGACAACCAAGTATTTTGCTTTGGTATGAAATGAATACAGGTAAGGAATCTGGCCCTGAATTTATATAAATGTCTTTAAGAGAATGTCTTTTAAAGTAAAACTAAGAAATATTTTTTAAAATAACATAGATACTAAAAGCCATAGCAAATATCTGAAAAGATACCAAGTCTTTGGTAAAGCTTCTTTGATTTTCAAATTATTTTTAGTTGGAAGGAGAGTATTTTTGTTTGTTTTATTTTAAGTAAGTTAGTTAATGTTTAGGTTAAAAATGCAGATTACAGTAAAGGAGCCCAAAAAGTATATGGTTCGTAAAAATACCATAGACAGCATTTGTATAACGTGTAAAAACACCCTTCCTCATATATAAGAAGAACTTTTGTAGAGTCCTTTAAACTGTATCAGGAATAATGAAAACCCTTTAGGTGTGGTAGAGATTGGTTTTATTGCTTGTTTCTTAATTATGGAAAGAGGAAAAGGAAGGGTTTTTCTAGTTACTCACTTTGTATATAGTAGTCACGCAGTGTCTTCATTTTGTTTGTCCTCTATAAAATGAGTTTTAATGATTTAATTGAATTTTTATTTTATTCAGAACTTTATTTTCATTTGATATTCAAGTACAGTTTTAAAAATCATTGGTGCAGTCTTTGTGTTTGTATTATTTTCCTTTAACCAAAGAAATCTGCTTATTTGGTTTGGGGTATTTTTGTTTTGTTTTTGTTTTTGTTTTGGCAGGTGTCTGAATCTTTACTTGTGCAGACTCCAGCTGTGCCTCCTGGCCCATGCCTCCCTCCCAGATTACAGGGTAGACCCAAAGCAAAGGAAATACAGTTACGATGGGGTAATTTCCATTTTGGTAATAAATCATAATTAAGTTAGTACCAACCGTATTCATCTTGTTAAATTGCATAAATCTTAACACCCTTAGGACCCCCTCAAGTTGATGGTGGATCACCCATTTCCTATTATGGTGTGGAAATGTCTCCTGTAGAAAAAGATGAACCCAGAGAAGTTTACCAAGGCTCTGAAGTAGAATGTACAGTGAGCAGCCTTCTTCCTGGAAAGACATACAGCTTCAGACTGCGTGCAGCTAACAAAATGGGGGTAGGAAGACCCTACTGAATGAAGTCTTACAGTCATTATTACTGTTTTATTTTAACACATATAATTATTTGATCATTTTGCTTTCAACTTGTGACTCCAACTCTTATAATTTATAAATTACTATAATAAATTAAGAGAGGTCAGTATATCTACTAGATTATTATGGAATCTCAGTGTTTTCAAGTCCTAGTTACGATATATGACACTTTGGACTTAAGTGGGGCTAAAGTTTAGCTTTTAGACTATACTAAAGGTTTGGAGCCCTGGTGTAGCACTGCAGAATAAACACTGGACTGCTGATCACAGTTTGCAATTCAAACCCACCATCGGCTCCTTGGAAGTCTTAATGATGTTGCTAAGTGCCATCAAGTTGGTTCCGACTCATAGCAACCCTATATAGGGTTTCAGAGGAGCAATTGGTAGGTTTGAACTGCCGACCTGGTGGTTTGAAGTTCAGTGCTTATCATACAGCACCACACCAGGAGTCCAGAAACCCTATATATGATTGCTAAGAGTTGAAACCAACTCAAAGGAACCTAACAACAACAACGAAGAGGGTTTAGGAGCCCTGGGCTACAATGGTTGAGTGCCCAACTGCTAACCAAAGATGCTGGGTATTCAAATCTACCAACTGCTCTGCCAGGAGAAAAATACGGCTATCAGGATTTACAGCCTTGAAAACTTATGGGGGCAGTTCTACTCTGTCCTATGGTGTCTCTATGAGTCTGTAACTTAGAAATTTTGAGAATAGCAAGCAGTAAGGTCTAAAGATGAAATACTTGGAGTAGCTAAGTTTTCTGAAATTGATTTGACCCAAGCCACGGTATTTTCAATAACCTCATACGCATGCAAAAGTTAGACAGTGAATAAGGAAGACCATAGAAGAATTGATGCATTTGAGTTATGGTGTTGGAGGAGAAAATTGAAAGTACCATGGACTGCCAAAGGAACAAACAGATCTGTGTTTGAAGAAGTGCAGCCAAAGTGCTGCTTGATTGATTTCTTTATCTGAGGAAGAAAGACATACTAGTTTATTTAAGCATTTCTGATTTTTTTAAGAATTTTTTTTTTAATCAACAGAATAGTACTGTCATATTTTACATGTGAGGAAACTAGGGCTCAGGAAAGGTGAATATCTTGCCCACAATCACACAAATTAATAACTGATAGAACTACTACAAACTTAGATTTGTCAACAAGTTCCTTAAGAACAAAGCAATAATTTTTTACCCCAATTAAATAGCACTCTATTATCTTTAAGCTATTCTATCATTTAAATCTTAGAAAATTAAATTCATTAAGTCTCTCCCCAATTTTTCAGATTTTAGTGACCTATACTGTTTTTCACATGCTATTTTCTACCTGGGTTCTATATTTTATCTGTGGGCATGGTTTTAAATTTCTTACATAAGTCAAATTTACATACTTTGTTTGCACTTTAGCTGACGTCATCTTACCAGTCTCACAAGGCTGTAATACACCAGTGTAATAGCATCTTCAGTACTAACAGCTTTATATATTCAAGTTTATGGTAATTTGACATGATCACTTTAAGTATATGTTTGCATTCTGCATTTCCAGAGAATATATATTTTAACCCTTCTAAAAGCTATTTCAAATTTTAAGATATAATTTATGCTCAGCACCCTCTATGCCTTTAATTGGGGTCTTCACATAATTTCTTCTGACTTCCTTCACCTATCTGATTTCCTAATACTCTGCCCCAATAAAAACAAGTCCATGAAGGAGTAAGAGGCAGGAGAAGAAATTAAACCTCAGAATTTCTCACACATTCATTTCTGTGAACAATACACCTTTTTACTTTCTGTGAAAGATTATAGAACTGTATCTTGGCCTTCAATTAATCTTGAAGGACAGGGATGATACACTTAATTATTAGTGAATCTGGGCACTTAAGGGTAAAAATTGAAAACACTGGCTATCTATTCTTTTTTTCCTAGTTTGGACCATTTTCAGAAAAATGTGATTTTACTACAGCCCCTGGTCCACCTGATCAGTGCAAGCCTCCTCAAGTGACATGCAGATCTGCAACGTGTGCACAAGTGATTTGGGAGGTATTGTAATTTTCATTGATTTATATTTGCTTTCTTAAAAAATTGAAATAGTTTTTAAAAAGGAACAAAAATAATGTTTGTTTTGGGTACCAAAAATATACAAAGAGTAAATCTTAGTTAAATTCACTTGGTAAAAACTGTTGAGTTATTTCTTCTTTCAAGTATTTGAGTTAAAGTATATTTGTTGTTGTTGTTAAGTGCCGTCGAGTCGGTTCTGACCCATAGTGCCCCTGAACAGGGTTTCCAAGGGTGTAAATCTTTATGGGAGTAGAAAGCCTCATCTTTCTCTCGCGGAGCGGCTGGTAGTTTCGAACCGCTGACCTTAAGGTTCGCAGCCCGATTCGTAACCACTACGCTACCAGAGCTCCTTAAAGTACATTTACATTATAATTATTTAGAGTCTTGGTAATGATGTGTTTTGTATTTTATCAAAGGCTTTGTCTCAGTACTGAGTTATTTCAACCACTGGTGAGCTTAATGTTCATAACAAACATTGGTAGGAATGAGTGTAAGACTATATCTCTCACATTTATTATCTCTAGTGTATTTTATAGTAATCAGTAATGAGAATTACAATTTCAGTTTCCTTTGAAATTTAATAAAGAATATACCTGTATAGTTAAAATGGCATATTAGTTTGATGTATATTTACCTTAAATTATTCTCTCTGAAGTGACTGTTAATCATACTCCTATTTTTGATTCAAAACAAAGTTACTCCTAATTCTGATTCAAAACAAAGTTACGCTTTTTGGTCAGTCTTAAATTCAGTAATGAATAATAAAATTGAATATTTTAAATTCAAAAGCAGCCCAGATTTGGTACTCAGATAATGAGTAGTTTTGCCTAACAACTAATAATCAGTATCAAGTATAATACCTTTGTCTTTTAATTTAAAGGTCCCATTGAGTAATGGAACTGATGTCACTGAATATCGATTGGAGTGGGGAGGAGTTGAAGGAAGTATGCAAATATGTTACTGTGGACCTGGTCTTAGTTATGAATTAAAAGGACTTTCACCAGCAACCACCTATTATTGCAGGGTCCAGGTAAAAACTATCAATGCTTTGTCACATAATCTGTCCAGAAGTGCTGTGTTTCATTTGCATTTTCATGGGCATGTCTTTGTTAACTTATAGGCTCTGAGTGTTGTTGGTGCAGGCCCATTCAGTGAAGTTGTAGCCTGTGTAACTCCACCATCAGTTCCTGCCATTGTAACTTGTCTTCAAGAAATAAGTGATGATGATATAGAAAATTCCCATTACTCACCTTCTACATGCCTTGCAATAAGCTGGGAAAAGCCTTGTGATCATGGTTCAGAAATCCTTGCCTACAGCATAGACTTTGGAGATAAACAACCTTTGACCGTGGGAAAGGTTACGAGCTCAATTATAGACAGTTTGCAGCCAGATACAACATACAGGTATACCCTAAAAACTACCTGTTAAAATTTTACCTTGACCAATGAGATATTTTAAATATAATAACCATAAACCAAGTTTTTTTTTCTTTGTTTTTTTTTTAATGTGACACTTAGAATACGAATTCAAGCCTTGAATAGCCTTGGAGCTGGTCCTTTCAGCCACATGATAAAATTAAAAACTAAGCCTCTCCCTCCTGATCCACCACGTCTGGAATGTGTTGCCTTTAGTCACCAGAACCTTAAGCTTAAGTGGGGAGAAGGAACCCCAAAGACATTGTCAACAGATTCAATTCAGTACCACCTTCAGATGGAGGATAAGAATGGAAGGTAGGTTATTTTGAATTGCCTCTTTAAATAGGACTAAGTCTCAGATATATAAATCTTTATAAACTGAAGAAGTAAATAAAATAAATTTTCAAAAAGTATAAGAAGTATTTATAAGAATATTTTTTAAATAGTTAAAAATTTTAATAGTTAAGTATACTAATTTCAAAACAATGTTGATTTCCTATTTATAACTTCTGAGTGAGATGTCAAAAGGAAAAAAGATTAAGTAGGCAGTTCTTTGGCTCTCTAACAATTAACTCTCGTCATACTGGTAATATATATAGCAATATAAGGAACTTTTTGATATTTATTTCCAGTAGGTAGCAATTTAACAGTAAGTGATTGATTGGCTTGTTGTTGTTGTGAAACGCTGTTGAGTCATTTCTGACCCATAGTGACCCTGTATAGGGTTTCCAGGCCTCTGAAACCCTTGAGGAGCACAAATTCTGGCTCAAACTTTGACATTTTCCATACCCCTGTCACAGAACCTGCACTACAAATGGCTATAGTACAGTCCTCATAGTTACATCTCAGTTAGATTCTGTGATTCATTATCCAGTCCCCTTGCTACAAGCCCTTATTCAGGTTTTATGACAAGGGAACCTTCTGATGTTGATATGATACTGTCCCACTAAATCATGTGGTAATGGTGGTGTGCAATGGAGTCAGTTCCAACTCACAGTGACCCTGTATAGGGTTTCTGAGGCTGTAAATCTTTACGGGAGCAGAAAGCCTCATTATCCCGTGGAACAGCTGGTAGTTTTGAACTGCTGACCTTGAGGTTAGCAGCCCAATTTGTAACCACTAGTGTTATTAAAAATATCTGTACCATCAATATTCAAATACTGTGCCCCACGTAAATAATGCCACATATCCTCCACAGCTATTAATACTTTAAGAATTTTGAATGTTGCTTTTCTACTTTTCACTCAATTTATTAGAAACAGTTGCATATCTGATGGATTCAGAATATTAATAAAAGTTTTTACCAAGGTTTACCTTTTTGTTGGTCTTTTAGGTTTGTATCTTTAGGTTACTATTCACTAATAGAATATTAATGGTGCTTGTTGTAGTATCAGAAATATTTACACATTTAAAGTGCCATACAAAATTGTTTTGTACACTGTATCACCAGTAAGAGCATTACACAAAACAAACAGTGTTGATTATTCCCTGGGTCCTGTGCTTCTCTAAGTGATCACCTTTGATCTTGGCAGAATTTTGTGCTCTTTGAAGCCTTAGCTATAAAAAGCATGTTCTTCGTCTTGTTGTGGGTTCTGGTATGTCCAGGTATCTTTAGTATGTCTTACTATTGCTGGGTGAGTTCACATTTCATTTTTTTTTTTTTCATCCTAAAATTTACATTTGGGGCAGTCAATACAAGAAGACTTACTGGACACAGGTCTAATTATTGTTTGGCTGAAAGATAATAAAACCTATTAAATGGAGCACAGTGGCTCCATACAGTAAGTACTAAACGTCAACTTATGAGCTTTGCAGTTAGAGCCTGAAGGAAGGATAGACTTTCTACCCATGTGAAGATTTTCAAAGCCTCAGAAACACTATACAGGGTCGCTCTGAGTCGGAACCGACTTAATGGCACTTAACAGCAACAGCCATTCCATTAAATACATATGTAGTTGTATTTTGTAATTTATTCTACGACTTCAAAGTTAACTGATATATAGTTAGTCATCAGGAGAATTGTTGTAAGGTATGAGTATGGCTCATGGATCTTAACTGTGAAAAATAAAACTTTTTATGATATTTGCATTTAAATATCTTAATTTTAGTATATAAATTTAGTATCTTTAATTAATCTGCTCCCCTTTGAATTTTTAATAGCTGTTTGCCCTTGCTATGGGATGGTATCAGAACACTCTCTTAGAAATTACCTGACCCATGGGTTTTGCCATCATTAAGCTTTTTTAAACTTATTTACCACTAGTCTTTTCATACAATTGAAAAATACATATATTTCAGGAATTAAAGGACAAGGCTTATCTAAGAAATATATTACCTTAAGTCATTAGATAGCTCTTCATTTTTAGCCTGACTGTAGTTTTCAGGCCGTTAAAACTATTGCTATTGTTAAGTGCCATCAACTCAATTCCAACCCAGTGACCGTGGATAGGGCTTCCAAAGAGCAGCTGCTGAGCTTAAACCATCCACCTTGCAGTTCAAATGACTTTGCAGTGTGATGCATAAGCCTACAGTGCCATACTCTAGATGAAGTATTTATTATTTATTCCCTAATTTCTGATAATTAATAAAAACAAAAAACAGCCAGTCAAAAATATTAGGAAATATTCAAATGATGACTGACATATTAGGAGAAATTTGTATGCTGTTATTCCTTGCATTGAACAATTTAAGTTGAATAATTTACTAGAAATTATATGTTCTCTCATACTGCTATGTAAATCACTTTAAAAATCATCAAGTCAGCTAAGATTATGCCTAGAAATAAAGAATTTCCCTTTTCAGCTAAAAGCAAGGAAAATAAACTAGAAACTGAATCTCTTAGCTTCAGTTCATATTGTAGTTGACACCATGCATGCATATATATAACTTGTTAGAAATTATTATAATGAGAATTAAGTGTAAGATCTGAATATCTTTAAATATCCTCAGGGGTTCCAAAAGTTTGTGAAAAAATTCCATTATCTTTATAGTAAGCAGAAACTATAAAGATAAACTAAAGCTATGCCTGAAGCTTGAGAAGGAATAGTTACTATGATTGGACATGAAATTTACTGACAGCTTTTCAGGGAAACATATCAATTTGGGAATTTGCTATCTCTGTGGTTTCCATCATCTGAAGAAAAAAACATACAGAGTTGCTTAGAGTGATAAAACTATTCTGGTCATTAAATTTTAGGAGTAATTTACTAATCCTAAAAATGTCCCCAATTGTACTTTTTTAATAGTTATAAAAACATTTTTCAAAATGTAGTCTTTTTATGTATTTAATGAAAATTTATATTTTAGGTTTATATCCTTGTATCGAGGACCATGTCATACGTACAAAGTACAAAGACTCAATGAGTCAACATCCTATAAATTCTGTATTCAAGCTTGCAATGAAGCTGGGGAAGGACCCCTCTCCCAAGAATATATTTTCGCTACTCCAAAATCTGTCCCAGCTGCCTTGAAAGGTAAGTTATACATCTTCAAATTGTTCTGTTTTATAATAAATTTAAATGCATTTTCATAGAGTGCTTGCTCTTTGTTATTGTAACTTGGCATCCAGTATGTGTCTAACAATTATATCTTTTTAGAAATGTATATAGGCAAACCAACCTACTGAGAGTTTCACTGAATGATGCAAATAAAAGCTCTTTTTTCTGGCACTTTAGTACTTAGTCAGGTACTAGTTTTTATCTTTTTAATAATGTAGCATAAAAATGCTAAATTGAATTGACAGACTAGTTTTCTGGTAGTGTTATATGCTGTTTCTGCTATTGTTATTAAAAGGAAAAATTACAAAGTGGTTGTTTAAATGTTTTCAGTTGTTGCTATTTCATTCACTTGAATTTCTAGGAGATAGCCAGGTCATCCGTTAAGTGAAGCATAAGTAAATTCTTAGTTAACTTGGGTATTTAAATGGATCAAATTTATATACATATAAATGTGTATGTGTGTGTGTGTGTATATATATATATATATATAATCATAGGAGCTCTGGTAGCGTAGTGGTTACAAATTGGGCTGCGAACCTCAAGGTCAGCAGTTCAAAACTACCAGCAGTTCCACGGAAGAAAGATGAGGCTTTCTGCTCCTGTAAAGATTTACAGCCTCAGAAACCCTGTATAGAGTCACTATGAGTCGGAACCGACTCCACGGCACATAACCACCACCATATACACATATACATATATATGTAATACATATATTTTCAAAATCAATTCCAAATGTGTTCAAATTTTTAAATGCAAAGATTGTACTCTGCATTTAGCTAAAAAGACTAAAATTCATTCCATTGCAAGATCAAATTACAAGACTTCTAGTCTAGCATACTGGATCATGTACTTGGATATACCATTTGTTTAGCAGATCCTTGGTTTACAGGAACTATTCTTAAGTAGTCTTTCAAGTAATGTTGCTAAGTTAGTGAGTCATTTTTCGCCTTCTTCATTTGGTTCACCCATCACTCATCTGTCAGTTTGTCATACTGTGGTGGCTTGAGTGTTATTGTGCCCCTAGAAGGCATGCCACCAGTATTTTAATTATCAGCAGAGTCACCCATGGTAGGCAGGAGCTTCCAAATTAAGATAGACTAGGAAGAAGGAGAGGAGAGTTACTTCTGAATGGTTAGCCACTGAAAACCATATGAATAACAGTGGAACATTGTCAGATAGAACCAGATTATTGTATATTGAAACATAATAAAGAACACCAAAATTTTGGCAGGTATAGTGCCAGAAGTTGAGTCCATCAGGTTGGAAGGCACTCAAAATACAATTGAAGAAGAGCTACCTCCTCAAATTAGAGTCAATCATGATGTTGCAAATGGAGTAAACCTTTCAGGATCTTCATATACTGATGGGGCCAAACTCAAAATAAGGATAAACTGCTGTAAACATCCAGTAATTATCCCAACATGGACTGTACAAAGTATGAATCTATGAAGATTAGAAGTTGTCAAAAATGAGGAACACATAAAGATCAGTCAGTAAGCCTAGGCATTAGTGAGCTGAAATGGACTGGTATTGGCCATTTTGAATCTGACAGTCATATGGTTTACTATGCTGGGAATAGAAAATTGAAGAGAAATGGCGTTGCATTCATCAACAAAAAGAACATTTCAAGATCTATCTGAAAGTATAATGCTATCTGTGAAAGGAAGACCAGTTCACTGTTATTGAAGAATTCTACCATCTTCTTTGCTCTGAAATTGATCCAACATGCAATCAAGATATATTGATAATTACTGGTGATTGGAATGCATAAGTTGAAAGTAAGGAAGAAAGATCAATAGTTGGAAAATATGGCCTTGGTGATAGTAATGATGCTGGAGATCACATAAAATTTTGCAAGACCAGTGATTTATTCATTACAATACCTCTGTTAAACAACATAAAATACAATTATACAGGGGAAAGCCAGCAATGAAGAAATGGGCTGAGTTCAACCACGTTCCATAGACTCCCATTAACCTGGAGATGAGACAGAGAAGAGGAAGGGCTAGTTGGTAGGAAGTAAAGTATAGTGAAACCTGGGGACTCCTGAGCCCATTGACAAGGACATAGCCACGGAGTGCTAGATCTGAGGGTGAAGCATTCAGCTGATAAGAAGAGAGGGGAAATGCACAAGAACGCCCAAACTTGCAGATATAGTACCCATTTGACCTAGCCTCGATGGCTTGATAATCGGAGCATGACTAGAGGAAGATAAAAAAAACAACTTTTGATAAAGGAAACAACAAGTGTCCATTGCTACAATTTGATGAACTTGACCTATACTTATGGATGTAGTAACTAAAAATACCAAATGAGAAGGAAAGAATCTTCATATCAAGTATCAGTGCTATCCCCTCTGCATACAGGGTAGATAGGGACGGGCAACTTAGACATTGACTACCTAAAATGAGGGGGTAGTCAAGGTAGTCACTTCATAAAGGTAGGAAGTGACTGGCTTACAAGTTTTCAAGAGGGAGTGTAGTTTAAAAGAGTGTGCCAGGGAAGGTAGAGTCCCCACTGAATAGTTTTCATCTTGTCTAGATGGGTCTGGTGAAAAGACATGGGGATAAGATTCTTATGATTCAATAGTAATTAATTGTTATCATGACTAATTACAACTGTCACAACTTTAAAGGTAGAAGTTTTGTAACAAATATGGGGGAGTAGTTAATCTTACAGTCAAGAAACAGAGGACCCTGGGACCATCAAGGGAGAGCATGCGCAGAATGCGGGACCCTATCCAAAAAGGCAGCGACACCAGAGATGAGGGCATGGAGAGAAAGAGAGCAGCTGAGAACTCTAGACTCATGGAAAGAGAAAGGCTGTGTGCTGGCGGCCAGGAGGCAGGCTTGCAGAATGTGCCTTTTGGTTGGTTGTTTAAATGATTATATATTCCTGAGTATTTTTGTGTACATCCTCACTGTGCCCCCCCCCAAAAAAAAAACAACAAAACAGGGAATAGAAGCAAATACTGTTGAATGATGATGCATGAATGAAATTGTAATCATTGCAATGAAATGATAGTGTAAAACCAATGTTCTCCTGTGTAAACTATCACTCAATTCACAATAAAAACCTAAAAAAAAAAAAAGACAATTATACATATGGCTTTTATCAGATGAAATACACAGAAATCAAATTGACTACATCTGTGAAAAGAAGACAATGGAAAGGCTCCATATCATCAGCCAGACAAGGCCAGGAGCAGATTGGAACACATTGTCAATTGCTCATATGCAAGTTAAGACTGAAGCTGAAGAAAGTTTTTTAAAGTACACTAGAGCCAAACTATAACCTTGAACATATCCCACCTGGATTTAGAGTATCTCAAGAACAGATTTGATGCATTAGATGCTAATGACTGAAGAGTTATGGAATGACATCAAGAACATTATACAGGAAGAAAGCAAACGGTCATTAAGAAGATAACAAAGAAGGAAAAGACCAAAATGGATCTCAGAAGAGACTCTGAAACTTGCTATCCAGAATTGAGATGCTAAAGCAAATGGAGATTAAAATTTCAAAGGACAGCTACAGAAAACAGTCAAGTATTATAATGAAATGTACAGACATGGAGTTAGAAAACCAAAAGGAAAGAATACACTGAGCATTTCTCTAGCTGAAACAACTGGGTGGGGGGGCGGGGAAATCCAAGCCTTGATTTGCTATATTGAAGGATTCTTTGGGCAAAATATCAAAAGAAGATGAGAGGAGTACACAGAGTCATTATAACAGACAGAAATGGTGGACGTTCGACCATTTCAAGCAGTAGCACGTGATCAAAGCCAGTGGTACTGAAGGAAGAGAAATCCAAGGTGTACTGAATTGGCAAAAAACAGGACTCTGCTGGGAATTGATGAAATACCAGTTGAAATCTTTCAACAAACTGATGCAACACTAGAGGCACTCAGTCATCTATGCCAAGAAAATTGGAAGACAGCTACCTGGCCAGCTGATTAGAAGAGATCCATAATTGCCCATTCTAAAGAGGGGTGACCCAGTGGAATGCAGATATCAAACAATATCATTAATATCACATGCAAGTAAAATTTTGTTGCTGGTGGTGGTGTCTGTGTTCCGTGGAGTTGATTCCAACTCAAACAACCCTGTATAGGGTTTCCAAAGCTGTAAATCTTTATGGGAACAGAAAGTGTCTTTCTCCACAAAACAGTGGGTAGTTTCGAGCTGCTGACATTTAGGTTAGCAGCCCGAATTGTAACGACTATGCTACCAGAGCTCCTTAAAAGTTTGCTAAAGATAATTAAAACACAGCTGCAACAGTACATTGACAAGGAACTGCCAAAAGTTCGAGACAGATTCGGATGAGGAAGTAGAAGGAGGGATATCATTGCTGAAGTCAGATGGATCTTGGCTGAGAGCAGAGAATATCAGAAAGATGTTTCCCTGTGATTTATTAACTATTAAAAGACTTTTGATGGTGTGGATCATGACTAGCTCTGGATAACAGTACTAAGAATGAGTATTCCAGAACACTTAATTGTGCTTATGAGGAACTTGTACATAGACAAGAGGCAGTTGTTTGAATGATTTAAAATCAGGAAAAGGTGTGCACCAGGGTTGTATTTTTTTCACCATACTTACTCAATCTCTATGATGTTGTATTTTTTTCACCATACTTACTCAATCTGTATGATGAGCAAATAATCAGAGAAGATGAATTAATGAAGACTGTGACATCAGGATTAGAGGGAGACTCATTAACAAACCAACTAGATGGTACCTATCAGCAACATCTGGTTCACTGTCTCTTAACCTTAAGATATTGGCTGTGATTTTTACTCCCATGACCCCTTTCTACCTTCACTATTGAGTAAGGCAAAGTCAAGCAATTAGGGGTTTGTTTTCAACTTATCCTGCGATTTCTTTAATTATAAAATCTATGTTCTAGTTAAGGAGCTCTGGTAGTGTAGTGGTTACGAATCGGGCTGCTAATCTCAATTGAAGCTACCAGCATTTCCGCAGGAGAAAGATAAGACATTCTGCTCCCATAAAAATTTACAGCCTCGGAAACCCTGTGCAGGGTCGCTATGGGTCAGAACTGACTCAACAGCACATAACAACTACAACAGTGTTCTAGTTACTATGCTCCTAGAAGTTCGAAACTACCAGCCGCTCCGCGGGAGAAAGATGAGGCATTCTGCTCCCGTAAAGATTTACAGCCTTGGAAACCCTGTTCAGGGTCGCTATGGGTCGGAACCGACTCGACGGCACTTAGCAACAACAACAGAAGCTCCACAAAATGGTAAAATCCTCCACTGGCTCATTTCACATGGAGTAAAAGCCTCTCTGATGCCCTACGTATTTCCATACTTGCCACGTTCCTCCTTTTGCTCTTTACAGTAATGGAAACAAACAAAAAAAAAAGCTTGCCAATTTTAGCCAATCTGGTCACTGTAGGTTGTGTGGCCTGGAGACCAGAGTAAGCCACTGACAATTTCTCTGCAAATTCAAGGATATTTACTTAAAGTTTGTAACTGGGTTTTAAAGGTTTTGTTGATTTTTATTAAAATGGAGTAGATTTTAATTATATTTGTTCCCTGCAGCACCCAAAATAGAGAAAATAAATGATCACATTTGTGAAATTACTTGGGAATGTTTACAGCCAATGAAAGGTGATCCAGTTATTTACTGTCTTCAAGTTATGGCAGGAAAAGATTCTGAATTCAAACAGGTATGTGCTGATATGTAATTCTGTGGCTGCTTATTTTTACTTTCCTTTCATTTTTATATACTTCTATGTAAGATTTGACTTTTAATTTTTCCAGTTAAGAAGCATAGTTCTTAACTATGCTTGTAAATTAGTTAACCACACAATATCTAAGCATTCAAAGTCTTTGTTGGGGTGAAAGACACTTAAACAGATCATTCAGGCATTTGACAAGTATTTATTGAACACCTACTCTGTGCCAGGCACTCAGGATACTGCAGTGAACAAAGTCTTTACCCTAATACTCTCTACATTCAAATGGAGAAAAATGAAATACAAGTATACAAATTAGTATGTAGTTTGTCAGATTGTGAGAAGTACAATGAAGAGAATTAAAGCTGAGGAACACAAATAGAGAATACTGATGGGTGTTGAGGATGGGAGCAGCTAGGGCTAATTTATTCAAGGTTTTCAGGTAACATTTGAATAGAGACCCAAAGGATGTAAATATGGGTAGAAGAGTGTTCCAAGAAGAGGGAACAGTGATGTAAAGGCCCTGAAACAGAAGCATACTTGGTAAATTTGTAGAACAAGAAAGAGGCCAGTATAAATAGAGCAAAATGAGGAAGAGGGGGAGAATTATAGATGAGGTTAGATAGTTAATGACTGGAGATAGGTAGGCTTGTGCTTTGACTTTTCCTCCATGTGACAAGCCAATGACAAGCTGATGGAGGAGTTTGTCCAGCGTAGTCATATGATCAGACACAGTGTTATTTTGGCTACCAGTGTTGAAACTAAATTAGAGGGGTAGATAAGGGCAAAAGCAGAGAGACCAAGATTTATTTAATAATAATAGTAGTCATAATTTAGTGCTGTAAATATGACGACACAATTCTTATGTAAGACTGTCACCTTTACTAGTCTAGAGAATAGCTTCACTTAAAGAATAAACTTTTACACAATTTAGAAGTCTAGTATTCCATCTGGTTATCCTGTATTTTATTTCCCTACTAGAAAACCTATAGATGTATGTTTTATTCCAGTATTGTTATAACTAAATAGAATGTTTATATATAGTTTTTGAGTTTTGTAAAACATGGAAATATAATTTCTTAACTAAAATTAGAAGCCCAAAAGATGTAGATGAAATTTGTCATGTGATTGTTTTTCTTTATTAAACCATCTGAAAATTGCCATGATAATTAGATTTGAAATGTAATTTACAGATAAGCAAGTTTCCTTCCAAGGAGGAAGCAAAATTAATATTAAAATAAATGTAATTGTATTCCATGTCTAAAGGAAATAGGGACCCCACATTTTACTGATGTCTGAATTTTAATAAGTTTACATCACAAATAAGACAGCAGTATTTATTTTAATTTAACTTAAAGCTAAATTAGCCATAACATTGCTTTCACTTACTTTGGATTTTACATGCTGTAAAACTTAAAATATTAATTTACTTAGAACTTTGTTTTATATTTGCTCATTTAAATCTCTTAAATAAAAGTTTGTAAAATTCTACAGCTTAGTAGCAAGTTATATTCGAAGCATTTGGATTTTTTTACTTTAGTAATTTTTTTGTGATTTATGTGATATTCAGCACACATATATTAAATATAACATTAAAAGAATTATGGGTGCTACTGTATTAATAAATTATTTATAAGAAATTTATAAGAATCTAATTAAGAACTCTAGTAAGCCAAGAGAAAATCTTTACATTTTACATGGCCAAACAAATAAAAGGTCATAAGGACAAAACCTAATTTATAAAACAATATAATTATTTCCAACTGGAATATGAAAGATTTTTCTAAAGGAGTGCATCTTTTTTGAGGTTGGAAGAGCTTAGGAAACCAGATGTGACTGGAAAGTATGTAGTGGATGAGGCCAGGTTTAGGTGGGTCTGTAGCAGGGGAACTATTAATGGGTTTTGGTATTATTTTGGTTTTGCTGTCTTTTTTTTCTTTTATTGTGAATAGGGTGAAGGTTTACAAGGCAAATCAGTTTTCTACTCAGTAATTCAGACATATTTTATTTCATGTCATTGATTGCAATCCCCATAATATAACATCACTTATGCCACTTCCTCCTTGTGTTTTCCTTCCGTTTTCCTTCCTCTTTTCTAACCTTTCCCACCATCTGAATTTTGGCTCTGGCCAAATGGATGATTATTCTAAGAAGTGCATCTCTTCCTAGTGATACCGTTGCACTTGTAGTTTTTTCCCCTTTTAGTTACTGTTTCAGTGAAAGCCATGGAGGTGAGTTCAGTTCCAAGCCTGAAAGGTGACTGAGGGCCCTAGTCTTAGTGCTTCCACCAGTTAGCCCAGTCTTTATGATTTTGAGGGGTTTTTTGGTTTTCTTTTTAAAATGTTTTATTGTGAATTATGTGATAGTTTACATGGGAGAACATTAATTTTACATTCATCCTATCGTATACTGTTTTATTGCCATGGTTACAATCCCCTCCATGCATCATCAAACAACCAAAGGGTGCATCGTACAATCCTGCCTCCCCACCCCCACGCCCTGGTTGTCATCACATAGCTCCTGTCTCTCTCTCTGGGTCTAAAGTCCCCAGCTTGCTCCATCTCTCCACATCATCGTCTCTGCCTCCATCTCAGGGATCACTGCTTCTCTGGGTAGGGTCCTGCTTTCCGCTCTTCTCCCTTCATAGTTCCAGGGACCACCACTCCTAGACTGCAAAGTTAATCACTCCCCTCCTTGCCACAAAGTGTGATTTTGAGTTTTGTCCCATATCTTCTCCCACTCTGTTTAGTGTCTTCCATTGTGATTCCTTTCAGAGCAATTGGTAGTAGTAGCCAGGCACCATCTAGTTCTTCATGTCTTCAGGTCAGGGAAATTGAGGTTTGTGTAGTCCATTGGACTGATTGTTTTCCGTTTTCTTCACTCTGCTGTGGACAGGAGGAGACCAGTAGTTACACCATAGATGGCTACTTGCAAGCTTCTAAGACCCTCAGGTCCAGTAACTAATTCCCTTACGTGTATGGCTAAGACGTTTTAACTTTGCCTCCATGTGCTCTACTATATTTATAAACATATATAATACATATGTAGAAATATCCTGTCAAATCTGTAGATATGCATGGGTGTACTCTCATTCTCCTTTCCACACATCTATTCAGCTTACATGTCTGTCTGTGCTTCTACTTGTACACTATCATTATTGCAAGATTGTGGTTATAATAGTATTTACCTCGTTGCCTTTAACTTTTGAACTCCTCCCATTGTCTTCCTTAGCCTTCATCATTTTTTGCTGAACTCTTATACACTGCCTTCACCTTCATCCAAGTTAATATGCGTCTGCTACATAGTGGGACTCCTGGTGTGATGCTGTAGGATCAGCACTGGACTGCTAACCACAAGGTCAGCAGTTCAAACCCACCAGCTGCTCCTTGGAAACCTCATACAGGGTCGCTGAGAGTTGGAACTGACTCGACAGCACTTAACAGCTACATAGTTGGCAGTCTAACGTCCCATCATCCTTGCCTCAGTAACCATCAAAGATTTTTTTTTTTTTTTTCTGTGAAAACGTTTTCTTGACTTTCAATAACAGTTGTTGTTAAGTGCTGTCCAGTCAGTTCCAGCTTATTAGGAACCCTATATAGGATTTCCAAGGAGCAACTAGTAGGTTTGAGCCACCAACCTTGTGGTAAACAGTCTAGTGCTTATCTTACAGCATCATGCCAGGACTCATAAAAGTTGTTGTTGTTATGTGCCCTCAAGTCAGTCTATCTCATAGTGACCCTATATAGTGTTTCCAAGGAGCAGCTGGTAGATTTGAACAACCAGTATTGTGGTTAGCAGTCCATTGTTGATCCTACAGCACCACACCAGGACTCATTTATAACAGTCGTCTCATACAATATTTGTCCTTTTGTGGTTAATTTCATGCAGCACAATATCATCCAGTTTCATCCATATTATGAGGTGCATACTCTTTAATGTTGGATAGTATTCCATTATGTATATGTGCCATAGCTTGTTTATCCATTCTTCAGTGCATGGGCATTTAGGTTGTTTCCATCTTTTTCTATTGAAAATAGTGCTGTAATAAACATGGGTGTGTATGTAGTGATTCATGTTACAACTCTTACTTCTCTAGGATATATACCTGGTAGTGGGACAGCTGGACTATTTTCACAATGGTTGTACCATTTTACAATTCACCAACAATGTGTAAGGGTTCCAGTCTCTCCATGTCCTCGCCAGTATTGGTTGTTTTCTGTTTTCTTGAACTTTGCTTTTAATGCTGGGGTAAAAAGAAATCTCATTGTTGTTTTCATTTGATTTGCATTTCTTCATGGGTTTGTAGGCTGTCTTCTTTGGTGAAATATCTGTTCATGTCCTCTGCCCATTTTTAAATTAGATCATTTGTCATTTTGTAGTTGAAGTGTTGACATTTTCTATAAATTTTAGCAATTAGCCTCCTTGTCTGTGGTTTCTCTTTGTTCTTATGGTGAAATATTTTAATGTGTCTAAGTGTCACATATTTAGGATATCCCAATTCTATACTAGTTGTTTTCTCCTTGCCTGTGAATCTCAAAGTTCATCAGTTGCTTTTTGACTTTATTTTAGCTAACCTTACTTTATTTCTTAAACGTTTTTCCTATAAAATTCCAGTGCAGTTGACATGCTATTTGAAAGTTCTTGGCCAGTGGAGATACACAAGCTAAGATTTTATTCAGCATTCCTTAGTTAAGATGTAAAATGAAAATAATAATCTATCTACTGGTCTCTTAGCTATAAATCTTCATTAATTATTGTTCTTCGTCTGCCTACAAAAGGATCATTGGTTCATAGCAAATATAAGGACTGTTTTGTATTAATTATATGTCATATTATCTGTGAGCAAATAGTTAAAGGCCAAAAAATCATGAATTTATTGGTTTTTCACTTACCCTTTTTCTTAAGATCCCAACAAAGTTACTTTGATAATAAGGATGGGGAACAGAAATATTCATTTAGTTATTTCTCATTTTAAGACCTAAACCTAACTCATTTCACACTTGAGATATATGTTGTTGTTGTTGTTAAGTTCTGACTACAGTGACCCTGTATAGGGTTTCTGAGGAGCAACTAACTGGTGGGTGAATTTGAACTGCAGACCTTGCAATTAGCAGTCCAGTATTTATCCTACAGTGCCACATATAAACCTTCTTAAATTAGCTTTAGCAAGTTAATCTGTTTACTTCAGTCCTGTTGTTGTTGTTGTTACGTGCCATGGAGTCGGTTCTGACTCATAGCGACCCTGCACAAGGTTTCTGAGGCTATAAATCTTTACGGGAGCAGAAAGCCTCATCTTTCTACCTTGGAACAGCTAGTAGTTTCGAACTGCTGACCTTGAGGCTCACAGCCCAATTCGTAACCACTACGCTACCAGAGCTCCTTTATGTACACAAAATTGCAATGTGTTCTCATCTTCTTCCTTCCCAGTCTCTACCCTCCAAGTTTCTTCATCCTTGCTTTATTAATATCATGGGACCAACATTATCTTGGTCCCCACACGTTAGATCTTTAGAAGGATTTTTTTTTTCTCTCCAGTTCTTTCAAAAGTCATTTCTCTCTGCCAGTACGGGGTACACTTGTGTGCAACCTACCACCCTCTTTCTTTCAAAGCCACCCACAAAAGTTCACCTGGCCAGCTGACACACATGACCTTCTGTGCCACACACACACACACGTTTGTTCAGCAGCTACTTCTAGTGAGTGCTAGTCCAGGACTGCCTCTACAAGTTTGGAGCAGGGCTTATCTGAATCCCTGCACTGGAGCTGGTACAAATAGCTCCCCACTTACTTTGATGGGGCTCTTAATTGTGCCGCTCACCTCCTTGCAGCTCTGTGAGAATGGGAGCTTCAGTGGGGTGTACGTGTGTGGCTCATGCCTCTGATAACCAGGGGCGTATTAAGAAAGGAAAAAATTGCACCTTTATCTCCTTATATCACTCATGTTTCTGCAATGCCAATAAGTTGTCTTGTCTCTGAAGCCACTCACAAAAGTTTAAGATGGCCATGCTGCATCATGTTGGCCAGCACAGGTCACCAGTCTGTCTCCTTTTTTTTTTTTGCCACACCTGTTCAACTCTGTTTCCTAATAGGCTGGTTTAGTCCACTCTATCCCTTCATCTGAAGTTCAGGGTTCCAGGACTATCATTTGCATCCATTTCATTTGGTTTTCCTTATCTTTGTCTTCGAAGGTCCGTATAGTGTAACTGCTGAGTCCGCCATCTTGCTGCCCCTCTCCTGATAAACTTTTTGGCTGATAAATTCACCTACTTCAGTCACTAGTTTAGTAGCCTTTTATTAAATACTATATGGAGTCCTAGTGTATGTAGTGCTGTTAATGCACTGGATTGCAAAGTCAGTTTGAACCACAAGGTCAGCGGTTCAAGCTCACAAGTCACTCCTTGGAAACCCTATAAAGGGTTTCTGTGGGTCCGAACCAACTTGACGGTACTTAACAACAACAAACTAGATTTAAGGAACTCTGGAGTGCTGGTGTGGCGCTGCAGGATAGAGCACTGGACCGATAACAAGGTCGGCAGTTCATATTCACCAGCTTCTCCTTGGAAACCTCCCCTTATACAGGGTTGCTATGAGTCCTAACTGATTCAAGGGCACTTAACAACAACAAAGTGGTATGGTGGGTTATGGCATTGGGCTGCTAACGACCAGGTCATCAGTTTAAACATAACAGCCACGCTGTGGATGAAAGATGAGACTTTCTGCTTCCATAGTATTTACAGCCTCAGAAACACTACACAGGGTTGCTATGAGTTGGCACCGTCTCCACAGCACACAACAACTACAATAACAGATCACAAGAGTCAAGATATGGTATAGCAGAGGCTGAACCCGGGGGTGATCAGTTTCACTTTGTAGCCTCCAAAGCAGTAGCATGCTACTGGAAAATCCATAGAATTCCATTCTTGTGATTTCCCTTCTAAGGAATGGACAGAGAAGTTAGTTTTTAAGATCCTGTTTTGTGATTCTCAGTGGTCTCTTCTCTGAACATAGAAAGCACCTCTCATTCATTCATTCATTATTTCTTTCAACAAATTATGTTGAAATTATACAAAAATTTATTAGTTAATGCAAAAGCCGTATACTAGGGAACAAGATTAGACAGCACCTCAGATACTGTGGACTGATTTCACAGACACTGACTTCTGACATTTATGGAAACCAGCACTTGCCTATGGGCTAGTTATGCTTGTTCTCTAGCGACTCTAAGGCACATCTTCACTTTCTCTGAAGATAGAGCTCACACCATTGCTTTTCCAAGTTTTTCCTGACTTTTTCAGCAAACAAAAACTTCAATGGATAACTATTTTGAAAACGTCACTTAAGAGAAAAAATTAATGGGACTAACTCTCATGTCAAAAATAATTCTGAAGCAAGCCAGTTTTAACACATACTTCTTAACATAATTTTTCTAACAGATTTACAAAGGTCCCGACTCTTCATTGCGGTATTCAAGCCTTCAGCTGAACTGTGAATACCGTTTCCGTGTGTGTGCCATTCGCCAGTGCCAAGACCCTGTGGGGCACCAGGACCTGGTAGGTCCCTACAGTACCACAGTGCTCTTCATCTCTCAGAGGACAGAAGCGCCGGCCAGCACCAACAGAGACGCTGTGGAAAGTCCGAGGCGCCGGCGGGCCCTCAGTGATGAGCAGTGGGCCGCCATCATCCTCGTGCTGTTCGCTTTCTTCTCTGTTTTGATTGCCTTTATCATTCAGTACTTTGTAATCAAGTGAAAATACTACTTCATTTTTTAATGCTTTATTATATTTTATTTTGTCATGTACTAAAATGATTTCTGTATTGCTTTTACAAAAACAGTGGCATTTAGCACTGGCATTGAGACTATAGCACGACATTTTGCCATTTACAATGCTTATATTATTAGGTAATGGCTGGCACTTTAATAGAATGCAAGCCACAGAAATATCAAATTTAGTGGGTTTTGTTTGGTGGGGCTTTTTTTTTCCTTAACTTTTTTTTTTTTACATGCTTCTTATAAAACAAACTTTCTAAGAGGCAACAATACATAATTGATATTTTGACCAGTCAGCATGAGTGTAACAGTGATAAGCCTCATCTGTTTATTACCAAGTTAAAAATTCCAAATGAATAAAATTTACACTAAATGCTGTACAAAAATGTTAAAGTCTGATGCTGTGAAAGCAATCTAGTGCTATATTTCTACCTCCTCATTTGTCTTAATTATTTGGTAAAGAAGATTTTGATGAATAACTAGAGGGGCTTAGCAAACAAAAAATAATAATGGAAGAAAAGATGCATGAAAAAGAATCTTCTTGTTTGATAAATGTGGCATTCTTCATGACAGCTATATATCCATAAATTCGTACATCGGTCACTTAAAGAAAGCACAGGCAGTCCACTTGGCCTAAAAATATTTTAATGTTTACTATTAAAGTACCTCTTCAGATCTTGAAAACGTGGAAGAGATAGCTTTTATAGATACTTTTTTAAAACTAATAAAGTCATTTTTTAATTTCAACTTATTTAATTTGGCTTCTGTTTATGATATGTTTAAGCTATACCTATGTGTATAAGGACATACATGTACACATATGGCATAACACACACGTTTTATACACTTGGCACCTACAATTGTTGCACATATGTATTGCATACACACTCCTTCTGTCTAGTTTGGGCCAATTTTGAAGAACTTCCATAAGTTTTGCTGCTTCTCCCATAACTACTGCCATCACCATCAGAATTCATAATCAAACCTAACCTTTTTGTTTGGGTCACCAAATCCGAAGACAAAACTAATTTGCACCAGTAAACTTCAAGCTGCTTTCTATCTTGAAAAACTAATGTTTGATGTAATGTCTGTTCCAAATTGTTGACTGCATGTGGTTAATGTTGCATTTGAGCACTTTGCTATTACATCATTAATGTTTTGTGAGCTTGCATTTGTGAGTTTATATTGGATGATCAGATTGAATTTTGTCAAGTACCATATTGTACATCTGTCTAGATGTTAATGACTGCCAGTAAATATACAGTTTGTAATGAAATTATCTAAAATTCTTGTTTTATCACATCTGTTCTCTGTAAAACACTTGTAACTAGCTTTTTTTAATTTATTATTTGAATTTTAGGATAGTGACTCACTAATTTTTAGTTGCTTGGGTTAGCATTTTGGTGATTACTAAGCACTTCTGCCAGTCTTTGAAAAAAGGAGCATATGTTTTGTGCTTTGAAGATTCTGAAGAATTTGTCTTATATTAGAATGGGCATGTATTGTAATTGTTTTATGTCAAATAACCTGTGCTGTTGAAAAACATTGACCTTTGTTCCAAACAGAAATGGATAAACTTGGCCTTTCCAAGTCGTGAGAATGATCTGTCACTATAATATACTATATGTTTACATTTTATTTAAAATTAAATCTCTGATGTATAGAATGATAACCTTCCCCCAAAACAACCGTGATTGTGATTGTTTTCTAGAACTTCTTAAAAGTGCCACATTTGGCAGTACAAATGAGTGTGAGTGTAATCGCCCAGAGATTTCTATATAGTTGAATGTCTAAAATGGTAAAATGTGCCACTGTGACAAGTTTACAGTGGCTTATGTTTTTCATAGTAAACTCAAATGAACACCTATTTTTGATAGTAAATGTCATTTAATAGTGTATTTGCCATTTGAGCCTCACTGCAAAATTAGTGCAGAGGAGTAAGCAATTTCTATTGTAATGTTGATTTTACCTCATATACTGTACATTCCAAAAACTCTAAACTTTTTAAAGATTATAGATACACTACCAAACATATCACCTTAAAATTGTATAAGGTTGAACTTCATACAAATGAAAAAAATATAATCTCATAAAATACATGAACTATGTAGCAAAAGTATCTTTAAAATCCATGAAAAATAAAAGTTGTATAATTCTTTTTCTGAGATGTGTTTATTGCCTTCATATGCATTACCTGCTGCTTGTTTTAGAAAATTAAATGTTTCGTCTTATAATGGGCTTAAAACAATATTTCTAGCGGTATTCGTATCTTCAACATAAGAGGAGGAATAGATTTCTATCTATTCATTATAGAAATAAACTCAAGTAGATTGCTGTTGTTGTTAGGTGCCTTTGAGTCGTTACCAACGCAGAGCAACCCTATACACAACAGAGCGAAACGCTGCCTGGTCCTGGGCCAACCTCACAATTGTTGCCATGCTTGAGTCCATTGATGCTGCCATTTGGCCAATAGCCAAAAAAAAAGACCTCCATCTCGCTGAACCTCCACCTTACCAACATCCAAACATCCTTCTCCAGCAAGCACTCCGGCTGCACTTCTTCCAACACAGATCTGTTGGTTCTTTTGGCAACCCATGGCACTGTCAATATTCTCCTCCATCAGCATAACTCAAAAGCATCATTTCTTCTACGGTCTTCCTTATTCACTGTCCAGCTTTTGCATGCATTCATATGAAAATACCATGGCTTGGGTCAGGCACACCTTAGTCCTCAAGCTGACATCTTTGCTCTTCAACACTCTAAAAAGGTCTTGTGCAACAGATTTGCCTAATGCAATACATCGTTTGATTTCTTGACTGCTGCTTCCCTGAGTGTTGATAGTTGTTGATCCAAGAAGAATGAAGTCCTTGACAACTTCAATTTTTTCTCCATTGATAAGAATGTTGTTTATTGGGCCAGTGGTGAGGATTTTTGTTTTCTTTACATTGAGATGCAATCCATACTGAAGGCTGTGCTCTCTGATCTTCATCAGTAAATGTTTTAAGTCCTCTTCACTTTCAGCAAGCAAGGTTGTATCATCTGCATATCGCAGGTTTTTAATGAGTCTTCCTCCAATCCTGATGCCACGTTTTCTAAGTGTTTTATCTTAGTGACTTGGAGTTTATAAAATGTCTTGCTTCCTTTCCATATATTTAAAAAAGGAACAAGTCTGAGGTAAACTTCTCAATCTGACCTCTCCTACATTTCCCACCTATTTCCCTGTATCTTCTTCCTCTTGCCTTCAGGGGCCTAGGACGTCCCTGTTACTGTTACTGTCACTGCCTTCTGCCCTGAGGTCTGCCTTTCACCCAGATTGATCAACATTCCCTCACTCATTCATTCTGTGCCCATATCGTCTGTCAAAATTGCCATCTCCCAGATCTCTTCTAAAGATGCATTGCTTCTTAAAACCCAAGTGATTGTTAGTTGCCACAACTGCAAGCACCCAGATCAAGTTCAGAATTTGACTGAGAAAGACCCTTATTTTGGTTTTAGAAGCATCATGCCACAGAAGCAACTAGGTATGTACCCAGCTTGGAAAATATCCATGCACATGTCACCTCGTATATTTTTTTTTTTTTCCTATAGATTGGAAATAGGGATTTTTCATGCTGTGTTTGAGCAGTCTATGCTTTTCCTCAACATTCTGTTTGTGCAAAAGGTCCTTGACTCACACGGACTGCAGAAGAATGGTTCCCCAAAACTTAGCGCAAGCAGTCATCCTGTAACCCACCCTTTACCCTCAACAGAACTGATGGTGACACCTCACACTCTCTAAGGGTTTTTAAATAATTGTTTTCATATTTTAAGATAGTAAGTATGTGCCAAAGAGTATCCCTTTAGTTGATTGCTTCTTTGTTTTGTCCCTGATGCTGTCAAGGCAGAGTAAGAGAAACTCAAAGGAAAAAAAAAAAGTTGACAGAAGAACCAAAAGTTTTCATTTGTGCTCATCAAATCACAGTGTCTTCACGGATGCTTTCAAGTGTTTCAATGTTGTTAAGTGCCTTTGAATCAGTTCCCACTCACGGCAACCCTGTATAGATTGGGTCTCTAAGGAGCAGCTGGTGAGTCTGAACCACTGACGTTGCAGTTCAAATTGACATGTGGTCCAATGCTTTATTCTACAGCTCCACACCAGGACTAGTTGTGGTGGCTATTTTTATTATTTGGTAAATAAGGCTTTGCTGTTTATGCTTGCTTTGGGAGATTTGAAGAGAAGAGTGTCTCAGAATGACAGATTTTCAAGCCATATGATCCATTCAAATCACGATGGCTACCAATTATGAACCACTTATTGTGAGCTAGGCAATTTGTTCTGTGCTTCACATTAGTAAATCCTCTTAACTGCTTGCTCTTAAGTATAGACTTGCCCAGAGCAGACAAGCACTTTGCAAAAGGTCATGTGGCTAGTAAATGAAAGAGCTGGGATATGACTAAAACCCTAGTGTCCCACAATTGACTACTACATTGTACCCCAAAGCTCCTGAATTCTAAGAAGACAATCAAAATGAACAGACTTTAATACTGTGTTTATGATAGCAATAAGTACTTCTTTATGCTAGGCATTGTGCTAAGCACTTCCCCAGATCCAAAATAACCTAAGGCCTTCTATAGACTGAACAGAAAGAAACCAGACAAGAATCACAAGGTCTGGAAGAGTATTCAGGTGAAAAGCCCTAGTTTCTTTTCTGTTGGGTTTCACTCTTTTGATACTTTGACTCCCATATTGAGCTCACACTCAAACCCATCCTCAAATACTTGTTCATCCAAGGATGAAAATACCTTAATTGCAGTGATAATGGAAACGGTCACCAGTATTTCAAATACCAGTAGGGTCACCCCGATGGACAGATTTCAGTGAAGATTCCAGACTAGAAAGAAAAGCCTGATGTTGATCTTCCAAAAATTAAACAACGAAACATGAAAGGAATATTATCTAATATAGTGCTAGAAGATGAGCCCCCTAGATTGGAAGGCACTCAAAAATATAGCGTGGCAGCAACAATGAATTTGAGCACACTAATGATGATAAAGCTGGGGACAAGACTGGGCCACATTTCCTGTGTTCTACATGATGGCTCCATGATTTGCAGCTGACACAATGGCAACTAACAATATTTTCAAAAAGGGAATACTCACCTTGCTACTTACTACTCATCAACGTGTACTCTGGTGGTTTGTGTATTGCTGTGATGCTGAAAGCGTGTCACCAATACGTTCAATACCAGCAAGATCACCCACGTTGGAGCTTCCAGACTAAGACAGAAGGCAAGTCTACCACTTCTGAATGGTAAGCCACTGAAAACCTATGAATAGTAGTGGAACAATGTCTAATATAGTACTGGACTATAAACCCATCAGATTGGAAAGCACTCAAAATATGACTCAGGAAGAGGTGCCTATTTATAGATGACCTTAATGACATAAATGGAGCAGAGATTTCAGGACGTTCATTTGTTGATGGGGTTCAACTCGAAACAAGTAACACCAACAAACATCCATTGAAAATTGGAACATGGAACATATGAAGAATGAATCTAAGAAAATTATCAGTTTGTCGTACTGTGGTGGCTTGTGAGTTGCTGTGATTCTGGAAGTTATGCCATGGGTATTTTAAATACCAGGAGGGTCACCTGAACAGAATATTATCCAATATAGTGCTTAGAAGGTGAGCCCCCTAGATTGGAAGGCACTCAAAAATACAGTGTGGCAACGGCAATAAACAATGGTGGCCAGGTTTCAGATGAGCTTCCAGACAAAGACAGACTAGGAAGAAGGAGTGACGAACTACTTCCGAATATTTAGTCAATGAAAACCGTATGAATAGCAGAGGAAAATTGGGAGTCATCAAAAATGAAATGGTCCCAACACTTAGAAAAAGATCAGCAAAGTAAGCCTACAGTCACCAGAAGAAAAGAAGTAATAAAGATTAGAGTAACAATAAATAGAAAACAGAGACACAGGAAGAAAACAGAATCAACAAGACAAGAAGCTGATTCTTAGAAAGGATTAATAAAATCAACAAACTATGGGCAAATCTAACAAAACCAAATGGAGAAGACACAATACAACAAGCATGAGATACCATATGGATGACATCACAACAGAATACTATCAAGAATTGTACTCCAACAAATTTTTAAATCTAGACGAAATGGATACAGTTTTTGAAAAACACGACCTACCTAAACTGACACAGAGTGAAGTAGAAAATTTGAACTAAAGATATTGATCAAGTCATCAAAAAACTGAACAAAAAAAAAGTCCAGGTCCAGATGGCTTTCCTGGTGGATTATACCAAACATTCAGAGATGAATTGACACCAGTTTTACTGGAACTATTCCAGAATATAGAAAAGGATGAAAAACTTCTTAGTACATTTTACGAAGCAAGCATGAGCCTCATATCAAAACCAGGCAATGACATCACTAAAAAAAATTATAGACCAATATCCCTCATGACCATAGATGCAAACATTCTCAACAAAATCCTAGCCAATAGAATTCAACAACATATCAAAAAAATAATACATCATGACCAACCAGGAATCATACCAGGGATGCAAGAATGGTTCAATATTAGAAAAATAGCAATATAGAAAAAGGGAAAGATCACATTGCAGAAAAGGCATTTGACAAAAATCTAGCACCCATTCCTGATTAAAAAAAAAAAAAAAAACACTCAACAAAGTAGGAAACGAAGGGAAATTCCTCAACATAATTACGAACATATTTACAAAACCAACAGTGAGCATCACACTCAATGGAAAGAAACTGAACACATAGCCTTTGTGAACAGAAACCAGACAAGGATGCCCTTTGTCACCACTCCTATTCAATATTGTATGTTGGAAGTCAGCCAGAACTATAAGGCAAGAAAGGCATCCAAGCTGGCAAAGAAGTAAAACTCTTATTTACAGATGATATGGTCCTATACATAGAAAATCACAAAAATTCAGCAAAAAAAAAAAAAAATTATTGAAACTCAGAAGATTCAGCAAAGTGGCAGGTACAAGATCAATATACAAAAATCAGTCAGATTCCCTATACTAATAAAGACAGCTCTGAAAAGGAAAACAATACCATTTACAATAGCCACCCAAAGAATGAAATATTTAGGAATAAATCTAACCAGAGAAACAAAAAACCTAGACAAAACTACAAAACTCTACTATAAGATACCAGAAGAGATTTACAAAAATGGAAGAATATACCATGCTCATGAATAGGCAGACTTAACATTGTGAAAATCTTAATACTACTCAAAGCAATCTACAGATATACTGGAATCC